TTTTTGCGCATTGGTGACCAGCACACTTGCGCCGCAGGTATGCTCCAACCCCAACCCCCAATACCCCTCCCCCATCCCAAAAAGTTTCTCTGCACATTTGGGCTGTACTCAGCAAGCGCAGTAAGGCTGCGCAATCAGAAAAAAAAAAAAGCAGCGGATGCCTGTTTTCTGACTGGTCGGTGGACCGCCAACCGGTCGGCCCCGATCGGTCGGGACAAAACGGTCGGCGGTCGGGGTCGGCGGTCTGCGCCCGTGCAACCCTGGTGTGGGGTGTATTCTCTTAAGGGGTACTTCTGACAGCCCCGTTTACTTTTTTTCATTTTTCTAGTCTCCTTTGTTTTTTTCTAATAATAATATTGTATCCTTTTCCCGATAGAACCACCAGTACTTCTCTGCACCTATATCTGGATGTATGCAAGCTATCTTTCCGGTCGGATACAGTCAGGTTGAGGTTGCTTTGACGACTTCGACGGGTAGTTGCCACAGTCCGATTTGTCTTACTTTTTTCACCAGTACTTGGCCCAGCTATCGGCCGTGGAAAAGAATAGTCAGATGAATTTGGGCATTCCTGTAGCTGCGCGTACGGGCACGACTTCAAGAATTTGTGGTGGTTTAAGGTCTTTTAGGGTTGTGCTCCACTGTAGGGGTCTTCGCTGAATTCCCCGAAGACCTTTAAGAACGGCGCTCGTGCCGTAAGAATTCGTGGGGCTGGCTCCACCTGCTTGCCCTTTCAGGACTCTCACGAGAACCCTCAAGCACAGGCAAATAGTGTTCTCCATTTCCACCGAGGCCAGAATCGTGGCTTGATGCATTTAACCGTGTTTTAGGGAATTCTTGGAAAATGATAGCAGCGCACGCAGTCTCAAGTTAAGAACCCCAGAATCAGCACGTGATCGCAGAGAACAGAGGAGAACTCCAACTTCCAGTGACTGTAGGAAATTCGTCAGTGAACTTAGGCAGGATCCCTGAAAGAAAGAAAATGTAGAAACACCAGTGGAGCCGGAGCACAACCCTTAGTTTCTTGCAAATAATAGTATAATAATAGGGTTTCACACGAATTGTGCGAACAATGGGCCTCGCCCCACTACTCACCAAATGTGCAAGATGAGAATCAATCTTCATCTAGAACATGGGAAGATACACTGACATATTTCTTGTTGTTTGCGCATGTGGCGCGTAGTGGACCGTGGCCCGTTGTCTCTATCCCTCTATCCCTGTATTCGGATGTCTGAAAGCAGCCTTTTCGGTTCACGACAGTCGAGCTGAGGGTGTGCTCTTACTGCCACTTCCCCCAGTGTATCTGACTGCAATACGGCCAGACCTGGATGCATCTGACCGCAGTCGCGACCACAGCTCCGTCGAAAACATCCTGGCGTGAGGATGCCCTGGGGTTCGTTCTGCTCTGAACACCCGCTGTTCCTGATGACACTGCTGACAACGGTATTCCCAGGCACTTTGTTCTGCTGTCGGGGTACATGACAGACCTACTCGTGACTGCATCGGACCGGAAAGATGGCCGTACACATTCGCAGAGGAAGACAGAAGTGGCGGCCACTTCAAGAATCACAGATCGTGAAGTGGCTGTTACCTTATTGTTGAAATCACTTCGCTGTAGCTGCCTTCTCACACACACATACACACACGCACAAAAAAAGAAAAGAGGAAAAAAATGGAACGACGCACAGGGCGCACCGCTGCACAGCAGCACATCTTGATGCACTGCGCGCACGGCACACCTGGTGCACGCGCACGTGCACATGCGCACACGGCCGCACCGCACCGCATCGCGCACTGTGCCGGTGCGCCGCAAGTATAATATTTTGATGTAGATCGGATTGTGGAACACACGTATTTCCCAGTTCCCAAGCCGTCAGGAAGGGGGAGGCCACCGAAGCCCAGGCTGCAGTACTCCCTCCGTCCTACCTCAGTGTCTACAATTCAGGAGGATCATCCATCTACTACTACTTGGGGGGATGATTTGACCGGACAGCGGTCAAGGGCACCGGCAACTAAGCGAAATATCCCATGCAGCCCTCGTTGAAGCATAGTTGAACAAGCCTTGTCATACGAGAGATGGTTAATGGAGCCCTAATTTTTTTCAGACAATTTGTCATGCCATGTAATAACAAAACTCAAAGGCCATTTAAAGTTTTAATCAAACTTGCCACCAATACATAGAGGGGACACTATATTACCTAGCCAGAAAAAAAGAAAAAAAGAAAAAAAACTATAAAACTGCCAGGCAAAAGTGCACCTTCATGCAAACTTCGCCAACATTCCAATTTCAGAGATTTTGAAAATTTCAAGAAATATGAGCAGAGGAATTTCCATTGCTCCAAAAGACATTGAGTTTGGCACACAGCAACCTTGAACCAAACCACAAACAAGCCAAAAAAAAAAAACAGCACAAAATATGACCCCCAAACCCTAATTTCAGTTCCGGACCCATCAATCCAAGAGCTGAAAAGTGGGGGTCCCTGTAAAGCACTTGTATGTCGTATGGGTAATTCGGATGCTAGGTGTGAACCTTTTTAACCTCTACAGGCTCCATGAGGGGACCCAGAAACCGTGATGTCCCCCACACTGTTGTAGCGAGGGTACCCTTACCTAGATACAACAAGCAGTGTCCAATGGCCCCCCTGCCAGGCCAAGGTCTAACCCATGACAGCCAAGGGTCGCCCCAGGTACTTGGGACGGTGGGCCTGAACCTTTTTAACCTCAAAAGGACCCATGACTACACTCCAGAACCCGTGATGTCTCCCAGACTGTTCGCCGTACGATGTGAAATGGTTGTTGCCCACGAAATGCCTTTTGAACCTCAAAAGGCCCCATGACTCCATGAGTACACTCCAGAACCTGTGATGCCTCCCAGCTGTTTGCCCTACGATGTGAAACGGTTGTTGCCCACGAAACGGACAACACCTGAAACCGGATACTTGATGTGATGCTCAGTAGAGTCCTGCACCTTTAAAAGAGAGATGGATGGCAACACTCGGAATTCGAGCGGAAAGGTACAGGGAAGAAAGCCACGACAAACTATTATCCAGTTAGGCCAAGGTCTAACTCATAACAGCCCAGGGGCACTGCACATACTCCCACCTAGCGCAGCTATCCTAACTAATGTGCCAAGCCCACATCTCAATTTCATATCATCTTGTCTGTGCATGTCAGCCCTCAACCTTTGACTTGACTCGCAAGTCAGCATCTGCCAGCAACTGGAATTACCCTACCCTAGTCTCCGGTCCTAAAAGGATGCCCCCTTTTTCCTGTCATCAACTGGCTCCGTTTGTCTTATCTCTCAAGTCACAGCAACCGTCAGCCGCTGGAGTTACCCCACTCTGCGGTTCTCAACAGATACCCCCCTTTTGTCATTAACTGGCTCCGTTTGTCTAAACCACCAGTACTTGGCCCAGCTATTGACTCTGGAGAAAAATAGAGTGGAAACTTTTCTAATCGGATGAATTTGGGCGCTCCTGTAGTGGACCGTATGTTTCCTAAAATTGTGGCTTGTTAACGGCCACGACCTTAGGAAGTACTGGTGGTTTAACTCTCAAAGGGAATTACCCTAGCCTGTGGTCCTCGGCGGATGAACCCCTTTTCCAGTCATGAACTGGCTCCCCTATCCACTCTCAATGATCAAGAGAGAGGCCACCTCATGTCTGTCATCCAGAAGAGTTTGCCAATCTCTATCCCCTACAGTATGTGTTAGCAACTGGACTGGAATCACCCCGCCGCCTTTGCCCAAATACAGCACTCAGTCATTATTGCTATATCTAGACTGAAAGTTGCCCCAAATACAGCTATAATGACCGGGTGGTGTTCTATTTGGGTGACGACAGTACTCTCCGGTCCTCAACCGATCCACCCCATTTCCTGTCATCAATTGTCCCCCCCATCCTCAGTTATCAAGAGAGGCCATTTCCTGGCCTGAGTCCCCCATATATCAACCGCAAGCTGCACTGCACTAGGCTGGGGGACAAGTCCGTGGGATGCCAACTAACACCAACCAGAATCGCACAGGAGAGGATGAGGGTTGACCGGAGTCAAACGCACAACCCACACCCTCTCCAGAGCTCGGACCTACTGAGCTACCACATCTTGTCCTCCTCCTTATTTTTACAACTTCCCTAGAGGCGGTGGCAAGGAGCGAGCCGATGACAAATGAAGAAGAGAGACATCCATTAAAATTGGAATGACACGGAGAAAGAAGTTTGGCACGACCCCCCCCCCCCCCCCCCCCCCCCAAAAAAAAAAGAAGAAGAAGTTTGGCATGACCCCTGCACAAGGATGACAGAAGTTTTTAAAAATTGAGAAATTGTCCAGAAAAACAAAAAGATAAAACATAACGCAAGCACAAACTGGTAACGGGACGGCAGGAGACAGGGAACAAACGATGACATGAAGCAAAGAAGGCAATTTTTTTCAAGGGGTTCCCATAAATGGACAATACCATGCAAAAAAACTAGACAGAAAAAAAAAAAAAAACACAAACTCGTAAGTTCGTAAAGGAGACGGGGTAAACGACAACATGAAGTGAAGAAGATCATTCCACTAAGGGTGGCTTTCCGTTGAACCACCAGTTCACACGAACCTAAGCAGTGCTCTTACTGGTGTACACAGTAAGAGCATTTGGATTCGGGCATGGGCCAGTAGTGAAGGCGGCAGGCCAATTTGGGAAAGGCGCACTTGCAGGCCCGCGGGCCTTGGAAGGTAGCTTCATCAACTTAGGTTCGTGTGTGAATGGGTGGTTTAAGGCGGGGATTCCGTTAAGAAGGAGAACTCCGTTAAGAAGGGGCATTCTGTTAAGAAGTGGATTCCGTTAAGGAGGGGATTCCGTTATGTGAGCAACACCACTTTCCACTTACGCAGTCCACGCCGGTCCCTGACTGCAAAAGGCTCCGTCTTTGCGTCCCTGACATACGCTCTGAAGACATCGTCCACCATTCGAACTCCAAGCTGGAAGTGTTTGCTCCCGGTATGGCTGGAGTTATCCGTAAGGATAAGGTTCTTGATGACCAGCTTCCCATTTTGGAGGAACTGTGGTTGGTCTAACAGGATTAGCGGCGGGGTGCTAGGCCGGGGCCGGATGACGGCAGAATCGAATTCCTCTGCGTTCCACGTGTCAGCCTCTGGCTTGAAGTCTCCTTCCAGGACAACGATGACCACCCCCGCGGATGCTTCAAGCCCTGTCGTTACCGCAGCGCCACTTTTCTCATCCAACAGCCAGACGGCAATTGCCGAGTCGTCGGGCGCCGTCATCGGGATCCCAGTGTAGCCTGGCGTCCTCAGTCTCTTGTTGAAGAAGCTCAGCCGGAGCCGTCGTACGTCCAGACCCCCCACCCCTTGCCGCTGCGTCTCCTCCACAGCAGTCCCCACCTCCAACCGCTGCATCTCCTCCTTTTTCACACTGTTACCCCCACGGCATTGCTGTGTGTCCGGATCCCTGTTCCCGAGCTGAGCTGGACTTCTGCATGCCCAATCACAGGAAACGAGAGCAAAAAGAAGACGGCAGCATCCATCACATTCTATGCATATCTTTTTTGAAGTTTTTTCCCTTTCTTTCTTCCCTTTTTTTTGGCAGAGGCCGCGGCGAGGGCGGGGAAAGTTGCCCGCGGGCAGGGGAACGGGGGCGGGGTGCGGGGGAAAGGGGAGGTTGAACTTTGCAAAGAGCTAAACCAAGGAGAGACTACGGGTTGGCTCATGCTGGACAGATGGGTTGCCGGCTACTGAAAAGAGATAGTTTCTGTACTGTTCACTTGTTTTGAAACAAAAATGATATCCAACCATCTATGCATATCTTTTTTGAAGTTTTTTCCCTTTCTTTCTTCCCTTTTTTTTGGCAGAGGCCGCGGCAAGGGCGGGGAAAGTTGCCCGCGGGCAGGGGAACGGGGGCGGGGTGCAGGGGAAAGGGGAGGTTGAACTTTGCAAAGAGCTAAACCAAGGAGAGACCACGGGTTGGCTCATGCTGGACAGATGGGTTGCCGGCTACCGAAAAGAGATAGTTTCTGTACTGTTCACTTGTTTTGAAACAAAAATGATATCCAACCAGAAGTGAAGGGGAACTGCAATCTTTTGCCGATTACACTTCAAGGCTGAGAAAGGTATGGCAGAGAGATCTTGAGCTTGGGGAGAGAGTTTGCGTACTGTTCCGATTGTTGGCCTGTTTCGAATATACATTTGAAAAGAAAAAAAAAAACACGAAAGGGATGGGGACAGAAGGAAAAAAAAAAGAAGAAGGGAAAGGGGCACCCTCATTCCGATTGTTTGACTGTTTTGAAATTTGAATATAGCTTGAAAAAAAAATTAGAAAGTTAGAAACAGATATCGAACCAGAAAATGAAAGGGAAGGGGATGGGAAAAAAGAAGAAGGGAAAGGGGAACCCCAATCTATGAGTCCAGGGGCTAAGTCCCACTAGCGGGGGTTTAGTCTTCCTTTAGAGTATTTTTCAACATGGACACCGTGCCACTGCGAGATGTGGCAGGAACAAACGAGTGCTCGAAACCTGGTCTAAACCCCTGCTAGTGGGACTTGGCCCAGTTCTGGCAGCTGGCTGAACTACCGGTAGTAGGGGATTTGCCAGCTCTCTCTTCTCCATGAACGCTGAATAGACTCTGATTTACCGTCGAAGGGTGAAGTGATGCACGCATGCACAGTGTAGTTAAGCTATGGCGTTGCCCTTCTCGGTTGTCGATTCTTATCCATTGAACAAGCTGTTTCGTCCCAGTTTCACCGACTCACATATATATATAGAAACAGATATATACGTTATATATATCGTCAAACAGAGCTGCCCGGTAAACCGTGGGCTGAGAGGGAGAAGAGGACAACAAACGAGGGGCTATGAGAAACTGTTTCGGAGTTAACTTTGTATAAAATAGTAAAAAAAATACATAATCCAAATCCATATATATCATCAGAAGGGTTCAGCCTCCTGATGAGTCGGTGAAACTCCAAAGAAACAGTGTGTCACAGCCCCTCGTTTGTTGTCCTCTTCTCCCTCTCTGCCTATGGTTTACCGGGCAGCTCTGTTTGACAATATATACAAAAGCCGTCTTAGCCTCTACCTGCCTGGGCATAACCAGCTGAGAAACCGCATCACGATATAATGGCGAAACTTCGAGATTAGGGCGGGAATTACTTGCCTTTCAAACGAACGAGACACGCTTTGCTCCAACCTCGGCATCACCTCAGTCATGATCAATTTTCGAAGGTCAGTCATGATCATACTTCGAAGATCAGTCATAATCATATTTCGAAGAAGATGAGGCAAATGGCTCTCAATTTCCCGGATGACGAAAGGCTCCAGCGCAGTGATTCCGTCAGACTGACTGTGAAAAAACTGTGCCAGACCAGTCTGCACGATCCTGGTAACCTTGAATGCCGTCTGCCGCTCATTACACTCTCGCATCTGCAGATTGCCATCGCATCATCCACACACACAACGTCAATTTACACGAGTTAATTATTTCAAAAGGGGGGGAGGAGGTGGG